ACGATCTCGCGGTCCGTGAGTTCGAGCCCCGCGTCAGGCTCTGGGCTGATGGCTCAGAGCCTGGAGCCTGTTTCCGATTCTGTGTCTCCCTCTCTCTCTGCCCCTCCCCCGTTCATGCTCTGTCTCTCTCTGTCCCAAAAAAATAAATAAAAACGTTGGAAAAAAAAAAGAAAGAAAAGATTCTCTTTACTGTTAATTTTTGATGTTTTATTTATTATATATCTTGGTGTGGACCTCCTTGAATTCCTCTTGTTTGGGGATCTGTGTGCTTCCTGGACCTGGATGTCTGCTCCTTTTCCCAGGTTAGGGAGGTTTTTAGTTATTATTTCTTAAAATAAGTTTTCTGTCTCTTTCTCTCTTCTCCTTCTGAGACTCCTATAATGTGAATGTTAGTTCAAATAATGCTTGATGTTGTCCCAGAGGTCCCTTTAACCTATCCTCATTTTTTCTTTTTGTTTTTTTTAGCTTGGGTGCTTTCTACTACCCTGTCTTCAAGATGGCTGATTCATTATTTTGCATTCTCTAATCTGCTGTTGATGTTAATGTATTTTTCATTTCAGTTACTGTATTCTTCAGTTCTGATTGGTTCTTTTTTATATTTTTCTTTGTTGAAGTTCACACTGAGTTCATCCATTATTCTCAAGCCCAGTGAACACCTTTATGACCATTACTTTGAACTCTGTATTAGGTATATTGTTTATTTCCATTTCATTTAGTTCTTTTTCTGAGGTTTTGTCTTATTCTTTCATTTGAAACCTAACTCCTGTTTCCTCATTTTGTCCTACTCTCCGTGTTTGTTTCTCTGTATTAGGTAGGTCAGCCATGCCTTCTGGTCTTGAAAGTAATGGCCTTGTGTAGAAAGGGTTTTGTGGTGCCCTGTAACATGACCCTTCTGACCACCCGTCAACAGAACCAGACACTCCAGTGTATCCCCTGTGTGACCTGGGTGCACTCTTCTGTTTTAACTAGGCCATGAGTGCTCCAGGGGTGTTGGTGGGTGGGCTGGCCCTCATCCTAGCTGGCTGAAGCTACAGGGCTGGCTCTCCTCCTTTGAATGTGCTCCAGCCACCACCAGGCTGCCTGCTAGGTGTGATGAGCAGTAATTGTTTTCTGGGGACATCAGTCCTGACCATGACTGTCCACCAGGTATTGCAGAGCAGGAGTCACTGTGAAGGGGTACCTGCCAATACGGGTGGAATGAATGGGGACCGTCCACAGGGAAAGCTCGGGTTGGGTGAGCATAAGGTAAGATAGAGGGTGTCAAAACTGGCCCCTTTGGCCAGCTAGGCAGAGGGGGTTGGAAATGGTGCTAGCTAGTACCTTCTTTCCCAAAGAAAGCTCCTATAAATCTCTGCCCCTCAAGCACATGCCCTAAAATTAGTCCATAAATCTTCATAATCTAGGTGCTTTTCAAACTGCTGCTTCTGTGCCGAGTCTCAGACCAAATGACAGAGTACAGTGTCCCTTTGCAAGTAAAGCATCAGTTTCCATACAGCCCTCTGGCTCTTCTGCAGTTAAGCCCTGCTGATTTTCAAAGCTAGATGTTACGGAGCCTCATCTACCCTGTGCAGATCCCCAGGGTAAGGAGTGCCTAATGTGAGGCTTGACCCCCTTGTAGGACCTCTGTACCTGTATCATCCCTCTCATTTGTGGGTTGTCCGTCCTACCCTTCTTAATATGGCTTCTCTATGATTTTAGCTTTGGAAGACCTGTTCTGCTAATTTTCAAGTTGTTTTCAGAGTGAGTTATATGTAGCTGTTGCCTCAGTGTGTCCATGGAAGGAAGTGAGCTCATGATCCTACTTCACCATCTTCCTAGAACTCCTTAAGATGCTTTACATTTAACCCATTTTCATGAATATGATGCTACAATATATATAACAGATCTCAAGTGATGTTTGATAGGAGTAGTGTTTTGGCTTACAAAATTTTATTTTTTTCCCTTATCCCTGATTGTATATATGCCTGATGTTGCTATTCATATTATACAGGAGAAAGAACTGTGGGGTAGCACAGTTAATGTGAAATTTATGCTGTTTGAATAGAACATATAACTATAGAAGGGCAAACATAATGTGTTTGAGTTGTTTTGTTTTATTTAGACTCTTGGGTTTTTTTCCATTTTTTCTTTTAATTTTTATTTTATTTTTTTAAGTAGGCTCCACCCCCAGCGTGGAGCCCAAAACAGGGCTTGAACTCACCACCCTGAGATTAAGACCTGAGCTAAGATCAAGAATCCGATGCTTAACCGAATGAGCTACCCAGGCACCTCTCTTTTAATTTTTACTACAGAAAAATCAAACCTACAAAAGTAGCAGAGAACTATAATTACCCCACCCATTGTTTAAGCTAAATCCCTACCACCTCACCAATTCCCATATTATTGAAGAAAATCTGCAGAAGATTATTTCATCTAAAAAACTTTAGTATGTATTTTTAAGAGGAAGTATTCCTTTTTAAAAATTATTAAAATTGTATTTTTTAAGTAATAAAAATAATCACAATATATGTTGTCATACAACAAATGATCACAAAACCATGCCCACATTTTTTTGTTAAATAAATTAACAATAAGTCCTTAATATTGAATATCCAGTCAGTTTTAATGTCCATTTAACTCGTATACACCATAAATGGTTTGTTGTTGTACTTCTGGTTTGATTGGAATACAGTAGGGATTATACATGGTGATTAATTATGTCTTTAAAGCCTCTTTTAATCAGTTTCTCCCTCCCATTTTTTTTCTTAAAATTATTTTTTGTTGTTGTTTATTTATTTATTTTGAAAGAGAGCAAGCACAAGTGGGATAGGGACAGAGAGAGAGAGAGAGAGAGAGAGAGAGGGAGGGAGGGAGGGAGGGAGGGAAGGAGGGAGAGAGAATTCCAAGCAGACTCCAAGCTGTTAGAGCCCGACGTGGGGCTCAAACCCACAAACCACAAGATCATGACCTGACCCAGTATCAAGAGTCGGACACGTAACCAACTAAGCCACTAAGGCACCCCTCCTTACAGTTATTTTTGAATGAACTGGGTTGTCATATCCCTGAAATGTAGTTTAACACATTAATGTGGTTTTTTATATTTCCTTTAAATTGGTAACTACCATTTTACTGTTTGGCAGCTACCAGGTAGAGAACTGATCTGATTGTTTCAGAATTCTTCTGGCAAGGTATCTTTCTTCATCAGAAAGTATCTGATGTCTGGTTGATTTTAATTGATTGCCCATTAACATTTTAGTAGCAGTAAAATAAAACCTCACAGTCTTAGCACCCTAACATACTAGTTCTTATTACTTAAAATTACCTTCTTAATAAGTCATCTGTCTTAGGAGATTCATAGACAAAGCTGTGTTTATTATATAATATTTCTTTTTCCCCAGTTTTATTCAGATCAGTTCTCCCTTCAGAACTTCACTTTCTGGAATTCTACCCTTAACTACCATTGTAAAGATCCTTCCTGGGATTCATATTGGCAATATTCATCTTTTTAACTTAAGCCTACATTGAATTGTATTCTAATCAGCCATCAAGCACAGGTCTTCTTTCTCCTTTGTAGCCACATTTGAACCTGTATCAGATCATATACAAAAAGAACAAAGGGCTTTGTCAAAGAAAGGGTGGTGCATAGTTAGGCAGGTTTTTAATCTCTTGTATTATTAGGCTCCCTCCCCCTTTTTTTATTATCACTTTTTTGGACCTCTGAACCTCCCCACTTTGTAAATTTCTAGTTTCTGGTTTTTGCCATGAAACTGCAGTGCTTAAAAATAATCAGTTCATTATGTGGAATTCATATTTTTATATGAATATGTTTATATTAATAAATAATACTAGCAGCAGCACCATTGATTTTACCTGGTCACTTAGTAACTTCACACATTATTTTTGCTAGGTGACAATATGATAGCCTATATACAAAGATTTCCTCTAATCCTTAGAATAATTCCATAAAGTTTTTTTCTTTAATGTATATTTATTTTTGAGAGAAAGAGAGAGCATGAGCACACGTGCAAGCAGGGGAGGGGCAGACAAAGGGAGACGGGATCCGAAGCAGGCTCTGTGCTGACAGCAAAGAGCCCAGTGCTGGGCTTGAACTCATTAACCATGAGATCATAACCTGAGCTGAAGTAAGACTCTTAACCAGCTGAGCCACCTACGTGCTCCATAATTCTATAAAGTTTTTATCCCCTATGGGTAAGGTAAGTATGGCTCCAAAAATTTTAATAAATTTACCCTCAGTCACGCTGAAAATAGCTATACCAATATGCAACTAGGGTGATCTTGTTTTAAAGCCTGTGGCATTTTTTTTTAAGCCTGTGGCATTTTTATAGTGAGCCTGAGCTAGATATCTGTGAATGGAAATTTCCCTTTCCTTTTTTTTTCAGCCCTTTAAGGTTTGTTGAGATGTTCAAGGCCTTACACTAGAATATTCCCATAGTCTGGGATTCTAGGCTTTTAGCCATCTGAGACCTTGATTTTCTATTTGGTGTGCTGTAAACTTCCAAGAAATTTCCAGATGGATGAACTACCTACACGTGATAGGATTTCTGCATAAATCTTGCAAGCTTATAGAATCTAACTCTTCTTACTTAATACAATGGACTTCCTATTTTTGCTGCCTCCTTATAATTGAGTGTCTAAATAGTTCATTTAACTATTAAAGCACATGTAGCATCATTACAATATAAAATGGAATACCTTCTTTCTTCTGCTAAGGCTCCAGTTTCTTCATCCCCATTGTGAATGTTTCTTACATTTTGTTTTTAGGTAGATGGTCTTTTTTCACCATGTATGCTAACCTACTTAAATTGTGTCATGTGGACAAAATAGACTTCCTCTAAACAGGGTAGGAAAATTCGCACTCAAAAATCAGTTCTCCTTTTGATCTGTTGCTGGGTAGATTTTTCTCAAGGTCATTTTAAATTAGAAAAGCCCTAAAATATTTAAATATCAACTGTTTGAAATATATTTCTACTTTTCTAAAGTAAAGTGACAATCTATTTTAGAGTGATGAAAATGAACAAGAGCAACAATCAGATACAGAAGAAGGATCCAACAAGAAAGAAACTCAGGTAAGAAAGCATTATTTTTTGTGTTTAGAAGCATTCATATTTTTCAAGGATTACCATTTGCTTGTGTTTGTATTTATTCCTGCAAAACTGTTAACTGCATACTGTACCTGCATGCTTGGGGATAGTACTCAGCATTTCTCTGGGATGTGGGGTAGACGGACTGGAAAGGACACAAAGAATATTTTAGAGGCAATAGAAATATTCTGGATCCTGATTGTAGTTGTTTTCTGAATATATACAACTGTCAAAACTTATCAAACCATGTACTCTAAGTGGATAGTTTATTGTATGTAAATTAATACTCAAAGTTGAAAACAAAAAGTATCTAAAAGATACCCAGAAGGTGGGTACCTTACCAGACCCAGATTTTATTTTTGTAAATGTAAGTTATATAGTTATATATAGTTACAAGTTATATTTTAGGGAAGACAGTAGGTCTTTTTAGCTTTCTTTACATTTGTTTAGAAATACACTCTAAAGGACTTTTATATTATCACAACTGATCATCCCAACGATCTTCTCAAAAAGGCATTTTCTTTTCCTCAGTGATGAAGAAACTAAGGCAAGTTTGAATGACTTAAAAGGTTACATAACTAGCAAATGTGGAAAGTTTCTTCCCAATAGTTATTTTCCTCCCTCTATTCCCTATTGTTTGGCTGTAGAGAAAGCTGACATGCTTTAAAGAGCTCTATTCACATAGGAGAAGAGCTGTAAAATATGAGTTGGTTCTAATCTTCTAAGTTCAACACTATCTAATCTGAAATGGCATTCTGGTCATAGCATCTTTATTTTTGACTTGGAGTTCCTAAATAGAACTATTAAATTCTTTGCAATCAGCAAGAATCTACAATAATATGAAGTGACCAGAAATTGGTTACCTGTGCTACGTGACTGTGGATGTTACTTTCAGGGCCAGGTTTCCTATTTTGTCCTGAAAGGTACTTTTATGTTATAATTAGGTAGCCAGACAGATATTGAGAAATTAATTACTTCCAAGGGTACAATTATTTGCAGGGTAAAACTTTATCGATAACTTTTAAATCTTTTGCCTATCAGTTGTCAGCACTCCCCCAATTCCCCTGTGTCTTGTGTTTATTATATTCTGTAAACTTGACCATTGTCTTCCTTTCCCATTGCTACCCTATGAATTCCCATCTTTCAAGAAAAAACAATAGATAAAAAAGAGGGAATGGGTTACTAAACCATCCTCAGCTGGCACTTCTCACTGCCTTATCACATAGACCTTACATCCCACCAGGCTGGGATAGAAGGGAAAAGATTTTCTGATTCACAGAGTTATGACTTTGAAGCATATTCAGATTAGTTGGGTTTTAAGTTTTACTGTTAATTAACATTGAGTAGAAAATTGTTTCTAAGAAGAAACATTTTCTTAGTTCCAAACAATTTAAATAGATTTTTTTTTCATTTTATCTATTTTTTTCACAGAAATAAGCAATTTTATTAGGAAATCCCAAAGAGTGGCTTTATTTTTTCTTAATTTGAACATATACTTAATTTTAAAATAATCATTAGTATTATATCTCAGAGCTGTAAATTCTTAATAAAAAGGAGAACTGGGTTGTTTGTTTTAATTTTTAATTTAATTTAATTTTTTTTTAATAATTTACATCCAAATTAGTTAGCATATAGTGCAACAATGATTTCAGGAATAGATTCCTTAGTGCCCCTTACCCATTTAGCCCACACCCCCTCCAGTAACCCTCTGTTTGTTCTCCATATTTATGAGTCTCTTATCTTTTGTCCCCCTCCCTGTTTTTATATTATTTTTGTTTCCCTTCCCTTATGTTCATCTGTTTTGTCTCTTAAAGTCCTCATATGAGTGAAGTCATATGATATGTGTCTTTCTCTGACTAATTTCGCTTAGCATAATACCCTCTAGTTCCATCCATGTAGTTGCAAATGGCAAGATTTCATTCTTTTTGATTGCCAAATAATACTCCATTGTACATATTTACCACATCTTCTTTATCCATTCATCCATCGATGGACATTTGGGCTCTTTCCATACTTTGACTATTGTTGATAGTGCTGCTATAAACATTGGGGTGCATGTGTCCCTTCAAAACAGCACACCTGTATCCTGTGGATAAATGCCTAGTAGTGTAATTGCTGGGTTGTAGGGTAGTTCTATTTTTAGTTTTTTGAGGAATCTCCATACTGTTTTCCAGAGTGGCTGCACCAGCTTGCATTCCCATTTTTCATTTTAAATAAAGGATTATTTAGCTCTTGTTTTTGTGCTAACATTCAGTTACAAGTAACAGAAAACCCAACTCAAACTAAAGAGAATTTATTGTGCTCCAGTTATATTACACAACCCTGTTTCAGCTTCAGCCTCAAGCTAGTTTACCTCACACTGCTGGGATTATAATAATTGGCTTAAGCCAGACAAGGCCCACCACTAAGATAGTGCAGCCATTTTGCTACTAATGTGGGCCATATACCATCTCACCTAAACCAAATGACTGGTACACCATGAGGAAAAGGAAGAATGGAGGTTAACATACTAACAGTATCTTCTACAGTAGACTAGAAAAGCGCTTCCACCAGTATGCTACTCTCTTTTTAAAACTTGTAGCATCGGGGTGCCTGGGTGGCTCTGTCAGTTGAGCAACCGACTTTGGCTCAAGTCATGCTCTCACGGTTTGTGAGTTCGAGCCCCGCGTCCAACTCTGTACTGACAACTCGGAGCTTTGTAGCCTGCTTCTGCTTCTGTGTCTCCCTCTCTCTGACCCTCCCCCACTCATTCTCTGTCTCTCTCTGTCTCAGAAATAAACATTAAAAAAAAAATTAAAAAAAAGAAAAAACTTGTAGCATCAGCCCTTACTTTTCTGTGTAAAAGTATTAGCAGCAAAATTCTTCTGTACATTTTCTGAAATAAATAGTGTCATCAACACCTCAATAGTGTGTTTGATGACAGAACTTCCATTAGGGTTCTAGAATCCAAGTTAACTACATTACAAAATGGTGTGTGCCCTGTACATTTTTGCTTCAAAGATAAGTAAATTGGATAAGGCCAAAAAGTTCTTAAAAATTCTCAATTGCATATGAAGCTCAAGCTGTCTACTTTCAGGATATAAATTAAAAGAAATTAAGATTAAATTTTATCATAGAAAGCTGCATTACTTTATCATAACATCTGTTACATAGAATTATGTATAATTATTATAACGTTCATTATTTCTAAAAATGGGACTTATGTTGCTTTGGTTATTGTGATTTGCTATCATTAAGTTGTTAGATAATAAAACTTTTACCTTGCAAAGGACATTAGTAATAAATCAAGAATTTTAAGTATAGGAGTGCCTAGGTGGTTCAGTCTGTTAAGCCTTCGACTTTGGCTCAGGTCACGATCTTGCAGTTCACGCGTTCGAGCCCCGTATTGGGCTCTCTGCTGAAGGCTCAGAGCCTGGATTCTGTTTCAGATTCTGTGTGTCCCTCCCTCTCTGCTCCTCCCCTGTTCATGCGCACGCGCGTGCTCTTTCTTTCTCTCTCTCTCTCTCTCTCAAATAACCATAAAAAAAATTTTTTTTAATAATAAATAAAAAAGAATTTAAGTATAACACTAAGGCAAGAAAAAAAAGATTAACAGATTTGATTATTTAAACATGTAAAACTAGAATATGACAGAAAAGATACCCTTATTAAAGTTGAGGCACATTTACTCTGTTTATAAAGTGAATAATCTTAATCCTCTTTTTAACATTTAAAAGATTAGTATTTGTACTATTAAAAGACTCACTAAAAGGAAAGTAGAGACAGGATATATGAAATTAGTAAGTTTTATAAAAGAAGAAATATAAATGGCCAGTAAATTTTAAAATGCATTCAATCTTAACAACCAAAGACATGACAGTTAAAATAAAAAGTGAAATTAGCAGAAGTTAATAATGCTCAGATTTGGTATGATTACTGTTAAAATAGGCATTTTTATATAAGATTTTGGAACTGTAATAAATTCATTCTTTACTGAGATTAGTTTAACAGTACAAATCAGAAGCTCACTTACATGTGTATCCAAAAAAGGTTAACAGTAGTTATCTAAGAGGGTTGGAGGCACAGGGAGTTACAGTGAAACTTTTTTACGCTGTGGTACTTTTATATGACCTTCTGGCACTGTAATAAGGGTATTTTTACTTTGAAAAAATAATTTTATAACACAGGGAGCAAGGATGTTACTATATGAAATAAGGACATCTACCATTTGAAATAAGCTAGTCATAAAATAGACATACTATGATTCCATTTACATGGGGTATCCAAACTATTCAAACTCTGCCAAAGTAGAGTTCTGGTTTCCAGGAGTTGGGGGTAGAAGAATATGGGGAGTTGTTCAATGGGTGTAAAGTTTGTTTTGCAAGATAAAAAAGTTCTAGAGATGTGTTGCACAACAGTGCGAATATAGTTAACACTATTAAGCTATACTCCTAAAAGTAGTTTAGATGGTGAATTTTGTGTTACGGGGTTTTTATCCCAATTTTAAGAATGTAAATAATGACCAGTGATCACACGATTTTTAAAGACAAAGAAATGAAATTTGAGTGATTTCTGTGACTGCTTGGAGTTTTTGTTTTTTCTTAAATTTAAATCAGCAAACCAGAGTGCAAATTGGTGAGGTGAGAGGTGATGTTTTCATTTGATATGTACACATGGATATTTTTTTGAATTTTAATAGGATCTCTTGGGTTTTTTTGAGATATAATTGACATATAATACTGTATTTGTTTCAGGTGTTCAACATAGTGATTCATTATTTGTATATATTACAAAATGATCACAATAAGTCTAGTTAACATCCATTCCTACACATAGTTATACATTCTTTTTCTTGTGATGAGAACTTACAAAGACTATTCTCTTAGCAATGTATGAATTTGAATCTCTCAAAAATTGAAATTTCCCTTCAGAATTGTTAATTGTTATAAAACTAATGAACAAATCAATGAGGTAAAGCATTGTGTGAAAAAAATAGGAAGCAAGTGCAAAATTAAAATTGGGTGGGTTCTTTTTTTAACTTTTTTTTAAATGTTTGTTTATTTTTGAGAGAGAGAGAGAAAGACAGAGCATGAGCAAGGGAGGAACAGAGAGAGAGGGAGACACAGAATCCAAAGCAGGCTCCAGGCTCTGAACTGTCAGCACAGAGCCTGACATGGGCCTCAAACTCACGGACCATGAGATCATGACCTGAGCTGAAGTCGGGCGTTTAACCGACTGAGCCACCCAGGCGCCCCCTACAATTGGTTTTCAATTTCAATAGACTAGTAAGGCATTTTTAGTCCAAGTTAGGCTTTAAGTAATCCCAAAAGAACTCAATAATTTTACAGTGCATTCAGAGATAAATATAATGGAAAAATACAATTATCTAAATTTTGAAATTTTACAAACCATTCTTTTTTTTTCTTTTTTTTAGCAAACCATTTCTTAATAGTTACCATACAGAAAATTATAGATTCAGCTAGTGCTTCAGTAGAAAGGGAAAAAGCTAAGGATGACCACCAAAAAAGTTTTGTCCCCTACTAAGACCCTATTAATCATTTCACTATTTAGATAAGAAAAGTTATGAAACATTGACATAGCATACCACTTACTTGAGAAAATTAAATCCTAATTTCCTATCCCCTAATTGCTAAACTTGGAGGAATTTATAGCTAGATTTCTAGAAAGTAAGTTTTAAACAAAATATGTGTATACTATTATATATAAAATACTTTAAGTATTCATTTGTTTGCTTCTCATGTTATTGCTTCAAAAACAGAAAAATGAGAAAAATAGTTGCTTTGGGATATCATGTAGTAAACTTGATGTTTCTTAATATAAAGATACTACTTTCTCCTGCAGGGTAGGTATAAGTAATAAATATGTGTCTTAGTCTCTCTCTTTTTTTCTTCTAATTAAAAATATTGTATGATGGTATTTTCAGAAATTCATAAAAGATGACCATAAATTGCCAAGTGTAATTAGTTGCATGGCTATTATGCATGAAAAATATAGTGATTCTGTTCTAGAACTTCTAAGAATAATCACATTACAGTTAAAACATATAGATAGTAAATAGAGAAGTTTAGTAGTGTGACAATAGCATAAATGTTATGTTAAATTTACTTGATCTATCAAGTTGCTTTAATAAAAGTATAGAAATTTAGTATGCCTGTGTTTTTCTCTTTTTTCTAGACGGATTCCATTTCTAGGTATGTTTTATATTTTTACTGACTTTTTTCTTATTTTTATTTTTAGATTTTCATTCCATGTTGCTTTTAGATACTTACGGATTTTGTGAGTTGTTAGGATTATCTGAATAATAAAAATCTGTAGATGTTTAGACGACCTAATAACTGTTACCAGCTTTCTTTGTCAAAGCCTTTACTTCTAGTTAAATAGTCCCAGTAACTCACTAAGAAATAAAATTTTTTCTTAAACCCTTACAACAGTGATAACTTTTTAAGTTTTCCTAATAACAGCAGGGACTGATGAAACCCACCATAAATTTATTTGATGAGGTATTCTGAATCTTCTCTCCAATCCCTGCTTTAAACAAAAGAAAAACCGTGAAGACACTAAAAACTATCATCTAGCTCAAAATTATTTACCTTTTAGAGAACCTCCACAGTGTCCTTGAGTCTAACCTCCATTCCATTTCTCTTGCCCATAATTGTTAACCAAAGCCTTGTAAAACCAAGAACAAATTTTTGTATACTACACATTTCCATTGAAATATGGAGGCAATAGCTTTTATCAAGAAAAGGTAACCTGAATTCAGAACGAGATAATAAGAGAATTCTCATGTACAAATGAGATATGTTCTTTCTGTTTAGGGCAGACTTATTATCTGTTTGGATAGACTAGTTTATCAAATCTAAAATTTTTAGACAACTGTATGCCACTTAAAGGAAAAGTGCTACCAAAAAGTATAATACACCATCAATTATAAGCCATGTTCTATGTTCTGATTTCAGAGATTTTAAAATGTAAAAAAAAATGTACAATTTAAAATTGTTGAAATAATTTATCGTGATGTGAAACCAGTTCTGACTTTTGGATATAGATATATTGAATCTCTTCCTCAAATAATGGAAATGAATAATATTATAAATAACTTTCCACTTATTAAATGTATCATAAAAGTTGATTGATAATAGATGAGGGAGAATGTTATCTGCTGTTTTGGAATATCAAGTTCAAATGTAGTAGGATGCATGTTAATGTGAGCTGTAAAAGCCTTTAATAAAGATTTTGACTTTAATTCATCTTTTAAAGATATGAAACCAGTTCCACATCAGCTAGTGATCGGTATGATTCCTTATTGGGTCGCTCTGGATCATACAGTTACTTAGAAGAAAGAAAACCTTATAGTAGCAGGCTAGAAAAGGACGACTCAACTGACTTTAAAAAGGTACTTGGGTTATTCAACTATATTTAATAAAAAAATAATTGTTGGTTGATCTATTGATATATTTGATATATTTGTGTTTGGATATTATTCCTGGAACTCATTATGAAATCAATATCTTGAAATAACTTAATTTTCAGTTTGGGGCACTAAATGGTAGATAGCCTATAAATAAATAGCTGTTTTGTTGTTGTTGTTTTTTTTTTAAAGGAAAGAGACTTTATTTCACACTTAAGTGTCTCAGGCTAGTATGGTTGATTGAGTTGAAAAGAGGCATGGTTATTGGGGATGTTTGCGTGTGCATGCGCACACATTTTTCTTTACCTATTTGTTAATAAGAGGTGGCCAAAAAAAGGGAATAGAGCTTTCCTAGGAGAATAGAGTTTTTCCTAGGTAACTAAAAAACTTGTGGTAGCTTAAGTGCTATTACAGATTAAGGATGGAAGTATTTAGGAAGTAAGTCTTGGAAACTCAACAATCTAGGATTCTATCATAGTTCTTACATTTTTTGAGCTTAGAATAAACCTGATGAAATTTGTTGGGGGAAAAAGAAGCCTTGTGATACTTGTATGTGTTCCCCAGCTATTTGGCAGCTATTTGTATCACTTTCTTACAAACTAAGTCAGCAAGAGAAGGAAGGTGGGAGGTCGATTTACATTATGAATAAGATTGTCATTCATTCGGTAAAGAATTGAACCCTGAACTGTGCTAAGTGGTGAGTTTCTACTTATCAGCAGTAGATTGAAGATGCTGTCATTACACTTATGGATATCTTCCATGTAGTAGAAGAGAGAGAAGTTATCATACAGTCATACTAGTAAATGTATAATTTGAAAATAGAAACAATTATCCTGAAGTAAAGGATCTGTGTCCTAAAAGTGTATAACAAAGGAAAGTTACAGGGCCTAGAAACAGATGTTCTGAAGAAGTGAAACTCCAGAAGTGAATCCCAGAAGGGTGATTAGTTAAACTGGCAGAATGGGACAAAAAAGTTTTCTACGTGGAGTGAACTGCAAAGACATTGACCTGATGGTAGAACAGCACAGGATGCATTGAAGTAATTAAATTTTCAGTATGGCTAGTAGAGCAGAAGGGATGGAGGTGTGACATTGCAGTTAGGTGTTCACGTCAGGACCAGACCATACCTGTTTTACAGGGTGTTTTAAGGATATCTTCATACTGAGGACCCTGAGAAGCTAGTCAAGGGTTTCTAATGTCTGAGGGTTAATGGAATGGTTGGCATATGAAATTGAGATTGTAATTTGGAAAAGTTAATTCTTGCTGCTAATAGAACAAATTAGAAAGAGGTCAGGAAAACAGTTTTAATATTAAAATAGTCTAATAAGAGATGATTTTAGCCATCTATAGTGGTAGTAGTAGAGATGAAGGGGAAAGAAATAGTAGATTCAAGTGTTACAAAAGTATTCAAAAAATATTTCACTTTCCTTTAAATTTCATTAAAGGAAAAATACATTCATTAAATGATAAATACAACTGATGCTCCGTCTCAGTGTCAGAAATTCAAGAGAGAATGGTAGGCAGAGAAGTTCACAGACCCCAAATGAAGATCACTTGGAAGCTATTCAACCCTTAGCTGTAACTGTCATTGGTCTGTAGATATGTAGTCCCTCTTTATCATATAAATGAATTTTTTTTAATGGAAATAGAAAAGTTAGATTTTTTAGTGATATCTTAAATTTGTAACATGATCTAATTTGTTAAAGAGTGTATATGGACAAACACCTGCATAGCATAACCAAAAATTTCTGCCTTGCAACCACAAAGCATTAAAATACTTTTTAAATGTCTTCTTTAATGGCTTCTATCTCTTATTAATCTCTGTTTCAATATTGCAAATAATCAATGTGAAATCTTAAAATATTAGGAGAGCAGAAAAGTAATTTGTTCTTCCCTACTTTTTACAGCTTTATGAACAAATTCTAGCTGAAAATGAAAAGCTGAAAGCACAGCTACATGATACAAATATGGAACTGACAGATCTTAAATTACAATTGGAAAAGGCCACCCAGGTTTGTACCTTTTTCTGTTCGTTACCCTGAAGGTAATAGTTGTGATTTATTCTGTCTAAAAAACTGGACTGAAATATTCTCAGATGTTTCTTTGAAAGATAAGTTTGGTTACTGGTAATAGCTTATCAGTAAGAAGGAATCAAGATCATACAGTTTAATGATGACTTCATTTTACTTCTTTCTAGAATGAATTAACAATACAAAAGTATAGGGGTACCTGGGTGGCTCAGTTGGTTAAACATCTGACACTTAGTCTCTGGTCATGATCTCAGTCATGAGATAGAGCCCCGTGTCGGACGCTGTCAGTGCAGAGCCCACTTGGGATTCTCTCTTTCCCTCTCTGTCTCTGCCCCTACACCATGCGTGCACAGCGTGTACTCTCTCTTTCTCAAAATAAATAAACTTAAACACACACTCACAGATGTATAGCCTTGTAGTGGAAAGTTGAGGTGTTTTTAAGCCTTTTAATGCTTATGTTGTGATACAGGGCTTAAATGCTTATTTCCAGAATACCAAATGTAGCAAGGTTTTAAAAGCATCTATACAGAATCTTCTTAAGGCCGTAAAATAATTTTGTAATCACTGTTTTTTAATTTAATGTTTTATTTTTGAAAGAAACAGAGTGAGAGTAGGGGAGGGGCTGAGAGAGGGAGACACAGAATATGAAACAGGCTCCAGGCTCTGAGCTGTCCACACAGAGCCCAGGGTGTGGGGCTCGAGCTCACGAACTATGAGATCACGACCTGAGCCGAATTCTGGCGCTTAACCAACTGAGCCACCCAGGCACCGCTATAATCACTTTTATTCATTATAAATATTTTCTGTTTGTTCCTTAAAAAGTAATTTGATATAATAATGCTGGAATAAGATAGTTTGTCTTTAACGCTTTTTACCTACTATGCAGCAGCCTACACGAGACCATTTTAGACAAGAAAATTGGGATAGCTGAACAAAATTCACAGCTGTATATATGATGTAGGATACATTTGATCTAGGAATTGTTTCCTAAGCTTTTTTCATGGAATACTGTAATTGTGGGAGATAGTGATAGACACATTCCTTCCTCATTCTCTACCTGTCCTCATTCAAAGAGAAAAGTTTTGTAACCCAAGAATCTTCGGAGATACTATACTACATCTTGGAAGTTTTATAGGATACTATTCATGTGTTAAAAGCCTCTAAGGGGTCCCATAATTTTTAAGAAAACAAACTTATTTAATTTTAACATGAGACCTTCTAGTATAAACAAATTTCTGCAGTACAACTTTTGGAATCCAGTTTGAAGTCACTGATCTAAAAATGGCATCTCCAGTTGTATAAATGAGACTGTATACTTTCATTGGTCATTCTTTTATACTTATCTTTTTTATAATTTTTTAAGTTCTCTATGTGAACTTCTACTTGTTACTAGGTACCTTCTTGTTGTTGTTAACCTCTATTACATTGTGAAGCAATTGGCAATGCACAGTGGAGGCTTTGCTAAAATTCCAGGAGTTAAGATAACCTTATGAGGTTATTCAGCTCTGCAGATTCCATCAGCTGCTGAGGGTTTACTATAAGGATATACAGAGAAGTAAGTCAGAACAAGAATACATTTCACAGTGAGGTGTCATAAAAACTTAGAATGTCATACAAGTTACAACTTGCTGGTTTATGCTTAGGCTTTATGGTAAACTGGAAAGTCATCTTTCTTTGGGTTGCATTAGTAGCTTTGTAAACCTCCTCATATAAAAATATCATAACTAGTTTTCTGAAAATAGCTTTAGCTCTAGAGATTTGATCATAATGTTTTCTAAATAAAAATGTTCACTGCTTTAAAAAGAAAAAAAGTTCACTGCTTTCTACAGCAGTGTCCTGTAACTGGTGAGTCAACTAATCTGTGTTTTTACTGCTTACTACCTTCTCTGTTTTTCTGCTCTCTGCGTACCCTGTTGTCATTTCATTCTTCCTATATGTCTCTCATTTGAATTCTACAAGAGAGGAGAACTGATAGAATTAGCCAGTTATTATCAGCATGGAGCAGTCCTGTTACAGCTCACGGTCTTGTTAGTGAAAAGTCCAATTTCATAGGACACTGGACAACCAATAGCAAGTTGCCTTTGGGTCCTGTACCAATTTCTGATCCTGTGGACTGTGGCCAGAAAAGTCACTGGATTAAAAAGTATGACAGCTTCTGCCTTAGCAGACATTCTGAGTACCATGCCCAGTATACTGAATGAATAATGGGAAGGGTAATTCAGAGTTTAAGACATCGGTAAGTATTCAGAGTTACTATCTTAGTTGGGAAACCTATGTAAATGTTATTTGTAAAATTTAAGGATATATGTAAAAGCAGAACTGATAAACATTAAGCTTTTTGTTCAACTCTAGAGTATCTATGCTGAGTATTTAAGTCTACTATGAATCATTCTACCTGATTTTTTAATTTTCTTTTTTGAGCATTACTTCCATAACATAGTGGTGGCAGTTTGATAGTTGCATGGAGTTTTTTCCAAGGGATATCATCCTATTAATCATATGTTTGATAATAGTTGGCCAAGGGACTCTAGAATCATTAAGTCCCATCTTAGTCCAGCCACCCTCCTCCATGTAGTCTCCAACAGAGGGAAATAAGCTGATTTACCAAAAGCTGGTTTGATGAATATTTTGTCAAATGTCATTTCACTAGATTTAGTAATTATGATTTTAACAGCTTATTAACTACAAGATTTACCAGAAATATTAACTAATTAATAAAATTGATTTTTAACATAAGAAATTAGCACATAAATCATAAAGTTGCTAAAATGTCCCTATATGAAGAAAACTCCTCAATAAAATGCCAATTTTCCATCTAAACTTTCATTAACTTACATATAATGGCATTGTTTCAGCTATTTCTGATTTCTTTCGGGTGCTTTTGAATGTCATTTTTAAATTTTTCAGTCTTTTTTTTCCTTTTCTTTTTTTTTTTTAAGTAATCGCTACGGAACTCAAACCCACGACCCTGACACCAAGAGTCACATGCTCTCCTGAATGAGCCAGCCAGATGCTCCTACATCTTTCAGTCATTTAAACATTTTTAGGATTCATTTGCAGATCTTCAAGGGGCACATTATATTAGCCTTTGTTTTGTATTTCTAGCAATAAAAATATAAATTTAAATTTAAAAACAAAAAGAAATCAGAATTAGTTGAAAAGTTTTTATATTTGATACATATATATTTTATATTTGATTTCTAACAATAAGTAAGTAAAATGTCGACTTTTCTTTTTCCAGAAAGAGTAAGCACAAAAGCATAAAACCATTTAAAACAACAGAGAAAGGGAAGGATACCCGGCTATGATTAGATCTTTAACTTTTATATACCATAACCACAAAAAAGAAATTGTGATAAAAGGATCAAAAAGTAACGGTTGCAAGTCTGAATAATACTAAAGCATGAATACTGAAAGGGCTGACAGAACAGAAAATTGTATAAAGAAACATTTAGGGGTTTAGGGGTGCCTGACTGACTCAGTTAGTAGAGCTTGCAACTCTTGATTTTGGAGTTGTAAATTCAATCCCTGTGTTGAGTGTAGAGATTACTTAAAATCTTTAAAAAGAAAAAAAACATTTAATGATGAAATATATTTTTAAGTAAATTTTGTAGTTAATAGTCATAAAAGAGCATTCTTGTTAATAAAGTTGCCAAAAAACAGGGCACCTGAGTGGCACAGTCCATTGAGCATCCGACTTCAGCTCAGGTCATGATCTCTCAGTTTGTGGGTTTGAGCCCCATGTCAGTCTCTGTGCTGACAGCTCAGAGCCTGGAGCCTGCTTCGGCTTCTGTGTCTCCCTCTCTCCACCCCTCCCCCACTCTCTCACTCTCAAAAATAAACTTTAAAAAAATGTTACTTATCATTCTTTTTAAAAAGGTGTCAAAGGGGCACCTTGGTGGCTCATTTGGTTAGATATCCAACTTCGGCCCGGGTCATGATCTCACTGTGTGTGGGTTTGAGCCCCACATCAGGCTCTCTGCCATTAGCGAAGAGCCTACTTAGATCCTCTGTCTCACTTTCTCTCAGCCCCTCCCCAACTTGCTCTCTTTCTCTCTCTCAAAAATAAACATTTAAAAAAAGTTGTCAAAAACTATTTTTGGGGGCACCTGGTTGGCTCAGTCGATTAAGCAGCCGACTTTGGCTCAGGTCTCTCATGGTTCATGGGTTTGAACCCAACATCAGGCTCTGCACTGACAGTTCAGAACCTGGAGCCTGCTTCAGATTTTGTGTCTCCCTCTCTCTTTCTGCTCCTCCCCTGCTTGTACACTCTCTGTCTCAAAAATAAATGAATAAACATTAAAAAAAAAAAAACAACACTTCTAGTAAATTGGTAAGATTGAGTATTCAGCAAATTCGCTTTTGGGAAGTGAGCCATTTAATGAGTTTTTGGTTGTTTTTTTTTCCGGCAAAGTGACCAGGAATCCCAAGGGAGATAAATGTGCAGAAGTCAGTGTAAGTCAGAAAGAACTAGGATAGAACTTGTTTTTTAACTGGGTCTTTTACTCAGTATTCATATGCAGAGCTTTGTGGTGTTACATGCACCATATGACTTAAAATCCCAAGGGTCCTTTCCATCCCCCATATCTCAGGGGACTTTGTCAACTTTGAGTTGATCACATTGTACAGGAAGCAGGAAAATGAGTCCTAAGTTCACCAGGAGAAGAAAAGCTATATAGCTAGGATTTCTTCTAAGTGACCAGGAGTATGAACCTTACTTACCAATTTTGGAATATGGGTGATTGTTAACAAAAACTCTAGAGAGAGAGAGTGGGCAAGACTAAGCTGGGAGAGAAAACAAAATTTAGGCCAGTTCACTGGTTTGTCTGCATGGATATTTCACTCAATCTAGTCCGAACTACATTTCAGTCAAGGTCTTATAATTTGACCATTCGGATTAGCCACTCCTCCTGGTGGGGTAGGAAAGGAGAGAGTTTGAGCATTGGAGGAGAAACTGTAGGATCTTTTTGGTGTTGTTCCACAGTTCTCCTCCTTCCTTACCCCGTACTGTACTATGTAAAGACCTGAGGAAAGTGGAATGTAGTCCATGAGAGCTGTGGACACCATTCTGTTTCTAAGCATTCCTTTAACTTTTTATTGTTTCAATACAAAACTGATTTTTATTTATACCTGTGTATTCCTCTACCTGACTAGTATGACTTATTTGAATACCACTAGAGGAGAGCTACTGTGGTCCTCCTCCACTACCAACCCCCACATTTACTGTACTTAGATCCCTTTTATATTTCTTACTTTGTTACAGAGGCAAGAAAGGTTTGCTGATCGGTCACTATTGGAAATGGAAAAAAGGGTAAGTGTCCATTTTATTGAGTAAGTAATCTTTTTCCCCTTTTATTTTATATAAGCAATAGTGGAGGATTTTTTTCTTTCAGTTTTGGCTTTATGGTTGATAGTTTTAATTAGTGTAGATTAATGTTAATTTAATTAGGAATGTTTTCTGGCTTAGCTTCTTTATACAGTTCTATGGGATCTCTGTAGGTGTGAAATAACCCTGCCTCTGTAGGTGTTAAGACTTAATTTACCATGTTATTCCTTTAATGGATTAAAAAAATCTTTGCCTTCATTCTGAAATATACACATTGTGGTAATGAATCTGATGTTTTTGATATGCCATTTATCTCCTTTGGTTTTCTGTGGTGATATACTTAAAACATTTTGGTCATGTATACATTTAGTTTAATTGTTTGCAAAATTTAAAGTTTATAAAGATTCTAAGAACATCAAATTTTAAAATTCTTTTTAAATTAATGATGCTTTACTTAATTTTGAATTTAAATATTTAACTTAAATAGGATATTTTAAACAAAAAATGATTATTAGAAAAGTCTTTTTGCTCTTTTTTGTCTTTCTGTAATTTTTTAGCTGGCTGTGATATAGTCACGTGTATTTCTTCATTTATTACTGTTATTGCTCAGGGGTCTTACAGTGGCCATAGGAATAACTCTACAAGTTTAGTTTGAGCAGTTCAGAATGTATAAATGATCAAAAGTTAAAGGAAAATGCCCAAAAAGTATCTGTTAGTTCACGTGAGCTGTGGTTAGAGAAGTTATATCCTGGGTAGCTGTGATCTCTAAGTCAAAGAATAAATAATCAGGAGCAGTTGATAAAACATTTTCTTCCATTCCATTATAAAAATAGCCAATTTACCTTTTTGACCAAAAACAAAAAAGAGAGAGAGAGAGAAATGATGTCTGTCCTTTTTTATTCTTGGCTTGCGCATACATGATACATGTATTCATACTCTGACATTCTCATCTGACTCCTTTGCCTGCCTGTCGAATGCAGATAAATTACTGAGTACCTTATCTACTTCCATTTTAACAGACATTAGTAATCATAGTATTAATAATAACTGCTAGCATTTATTCAGTGTACCAGGCAGGCACTGGGCTAGCACTTTACATACATTTTCTCGTAACCATATTTTTTAATGTTAATAAGTTTGCCAAACAGAAGAAATTGCCTACATCTTTATAATTGCTATTTTGGTGATAAGACAGTTAGATATAGACAAGTGTTCTTGTCTTTTTTACCAGAAAATAGTTAAAATCTTGAAGGTACCTAATAAAATTAAGGATGATGGGGTAGAAGGAAATAGGCTATTTATGATATTTCACCAAGTTACAAGGATCAAATATGACACTATATATCCTAGTGTTTCGGGAAATGCAGTGGTTTTTATGAATTAGTCATGGCTGTATTACTAACTAGCAGAAAGTCCTATTCATAGGAAATAACATTTTTGTCTATGTAATAGTGTTTAAACAAGTTAAAAATAGAATAACATGGTACTTAAAAGACTATGAGTAGGATCCTATTTTTTTTTTACATCATATAACCTAAAGCATTAACATTTACAGTAAATGTACTGCTTTACTAAATATCAACATTAATTATTAATCTGGGAAAGAATGTCTTGGGAATTCATAGTGATTAAACTAAATTTAAATGGTTTGTATCTGAAAGGTGACCGGCAAGAGTCAGTATCTTCTGGGCGGTATGACCTAACCAAAGTTTTACAGCACATTAATTACTGCTGCTTGCTTTTTGCATAACACCCTAGAATGCTTATTGTTTAAGGCAGAATAAAACAGTACACTGCAGTAACGTATTGTATGTTACCTTTGCCTGTCACTCTTTGAAAGGAGGAACATGAAAATACATGCTGCAGCTGCTGCTTCATTAGAGTCACGGCATCAGTGCTGCACACAGTATCAAGCTCAGTACAAAACTGTAAAGCCAACTGGATAAATAATGGCTAGTAGACCTTGCAGGTGGAGGAGATGAACTTCTCTTAGATCCTTTTGAAAGTTTACACATATTTTAGGCATGTTTGCTTCTTGCGTTTCTGCTTCTGTCACTGTAGAATAATTGCATCTATGTGTGGGGTTTTTTTTCCTCTCTACATAATCCTCAGTCTTGAGTATTGGTTTATTCTATGCCTAAGTTTAAATGAACTGAAAAAACAGTTTGAACATGTTATGTAGCATCTTACCTTAAAGTCAAAGCTTTAAAGAAAGAGCTTATAGAAATTAATAAAAATAATAATCTTCATATTTATTTCTTGAAAGACATTTGGAAAGCTCTTTGCACATCACTGGCATCACATCTTTTTCCACACTGCTCCTGATTTGATTTTTGACTCTAAAGTGTCACTATTTCACAACTTAGAGAATTAAGAATATAATAATTATGTGATAAATATTGGTACCTTAAATTGATCTAGGAACGAAGAGCTCTAGAAAGAAGAATATCTGAAATGGAAGAAGAGCTCAAAGTAAGTAAACCATGCTACTACTTATGAGAGACAGTGCTGTTTACGAACTTAAATTTTACAGAACTAATAACATACTGTGTTCATGTTAATTGTTCTCAACACTGATTGTGTAATTTGTGAATTATCCATATGCCGTGCTTCTCTTTATTCCTAAATCCAGGTTTTAGGTGAGCTAGGAGAACATTTATAATTCAAATCTTTTTGTTAATCAATTTTTATGGCTGTTTTGATAGTCAGGTGTAGAAGAAATTAGACAATAATGACTATAAGATTTGGGATTTAGTATTTATTCTTCACATTTCACATACTCTGTTTCTTGGAGAGTAAATGGTGGAGTGGGGATCGATACAAAAGTGTTTTCCTTTGAAAATAAAGGACTTTACGGTAGTGGGCCAGCAGAGCTGTATTTTATGGAACTCTGAATTACCTGTAGAAGTAACAATTTGTTTTGAATGTTGGAAGGAACACTTCTTGCAGGGGGAACAAAAATAGCACAGTTAATTGATTACCTTTTATCATATTGTCTTGCATAAAATATCTTTATCACATTATGAATTAATGAACTGATACTTATGAAAATGTGCCTATAGAATTAGACTGTCAAGATTTAATTATTGTATTGCTGAATTTGGTTCTTTGTTAGAATATTATTATTGAATGACTTTGGAGACAAATTTTTTGGATTTTGTTTGTTTATGTATTTTGTTTGATATGGAATTTTAGGACTACACTATTTACCTTTGTGAATCTCATGGAATATCCTTTTAAGACTCTTAATTTTTTTCCTCTTATATTCATTTATCTGTGATTCTTTGTATTTTTATTGTCCTCTTTTCCATTTTCTTATTTTTTTATTTTCTATTTCTTTATGTTCTAATTCCTGCAGAACCTGCACCAAATAAAGCAAATTCAGACTCTGAGAGAGTTAAATGAACGACTGCTGACTGAGAATAGGGCCTTGACAAGAGTGGTAGCCAAGCGCTCAGGGTTCTGTAGGCAACTGCAGTCTGTGAACCTATAACTTGTAGTTTCATCATTTCTTCTTGGTAGAGCCAGGCAGGTGTTTTTGTATTAGTAAGCGTGTCTTGAGCTCACTTTTACAAATTAATGCCATTGTGTCTGTAGCTTATCATATAACTGTTAATTATGCATGGCTTCTCAGAATGTTAGAAAGTGTCACTAATTGTATATTCTGACTGATAAACTACAGTGAATTTAGAGAACGGTTTAGGGATTTAAAGACTTGTCTGCACTTTTGCAAAAGCTTGTGCACATTTTTGGCTCTACAGATAATTTATGGATTAAAACTATGACCATTTAAAATTCTTGACTAGAAAGAAAAAGGAACGTAAACAATGTAACATGTATTTTACATATAATTAATATGTTGAAGGTGACGATTAAACATGTTTTATCTGTTTTTCAAAATAATGTCATTTTCACTCAGAACCACTTCAGGTAATATTCACTTAGTCCTTTACAGTGGTATCCTGATACATAAACTTCACATTACTGTATTTTATAACCATATATTCTGAAAACAAGAATTGATTCATTCCACATAAATTTAAACTCTTCATAAAGATTTTGCTTAAGGTAATTTTGCCAAGTAGAAGTTTTACTTTTGTCTAATTTTACAATCTAGTACATCTTGAAAGCTGAGGAAAGGTAGTAAAAAACTATTTCCAGTGTCTTGCAAAGTATGTTAGTGTCCAAAGTATAAACTGTTCTACTTCCTAGCAAATCTGGCAGAGCACATGGAATTTAAGTCATTCTTAGTAGAAAATCCAGTTTACTGCTAACATTTCCATCCCCTCCTTCAGTTTGTCTATAGAACAGAAAATAGATCTCCTTTGAGGACCTGAGCGTGTGTTTTTCTCTTTGTTCCAAATACTGGTTGTTTTTTCAGTGCTTAGATATTTTCATAAATATATTTTGGCTTATAAGTTATTTTATACTATTCCAATAATAGGAATAATTGTTATCGTTTAATGAGCACCTATCTTGGATCAGACACTGTAGTACATGCTTAAGCTTAGTACTACAGTTGAATCCTTTAAGGAATTCTAATAATTTAGAACAAGTCTAACTCCCTCAAAATTTCCCTAAATAGGCTGGTTTTCTTGTGGAATAATATTTAAGGTCCGATGTAAATAAAGTTAAAAGGGTTTGGTTTAGGTGCTGATAGAAGTCTTAGAGGAACTCCCTTTGAGAGCCTATCCTAACAAAAACAGGCTTCATTTTCTTGGCTGCTCTAATACAGTGTGCTTGTGAGTCATAATATCAAGTGATTTAGTACATTCCAAATGATAACTTTGGGAAAATAAACTTCTCATTCCATCATTTATTAAACTAATTAGCGTCACAAATCAAGTTTTTTCTTTCTTATACGTTTTAGCCACTAGAAATTTATATAACTGACCAAGCTTGTTCATGTGTCTTGTGGTGAAAATATAAATACACTAAGGGTAACATTTTTGTCTTCCTATTGAAGTAAAACCTTTTCTTTTATTTTTACCCTCATAGATGTTACCAGACCTAAAAGCAGACAACCAGAGGCTAAAGGATGAAAATGGGGCCTTGATCAGAGTAATAAGCAAACTTTCCAAATAAAAAAAAGGAAAAAAAAAAGCAGCAAGTAATGGAATTGCACATATGAGCAACCCAGTGGACCATATTTGACAGTCACTGGAAGCCTGGGAAGAATCCAGGGAGACTGTCATTTTCGGATATCCTGCCAAATGCCCTCTTATCTAGGAATTTTGTTTTGTTTAATTTTCTGGGTTT